CGCAGCGCGCGATCCTGCTGCGTGTAAATGATGCACACGTTCGGACAAAGGGCGTTCATCCACTGCACCCGGCTTCCTTTCCCCCACACCCTATCTCCTTCCCGATTCCAGCCCCTCCCCACTCTCCGAGAGATGAACCCCACACTCCACTCGTGAAAAGAAGAGAGAGAGAGAAAAACAGCGACTCGGCAGTGGATAGCAAGGAGGGCCAGCGTGCCACGTGCAGCAGTGTGCTGCGTCAGTGGAGGGCCGGGGCGGGGCGGGGCGCGCGGGTCGGCCCCGTAAAGATGTCTGCTCCAGATCACACGGCCTGCGCTCGCTGCGCTCGCTGCGCTACTCACCGTGCTTGCTGGGGATGATGTCCGGGTCCGTGTCCTCGGGCGACGGCGCCCCCGAGGTGATGACGGGCCCGGTGGCCCCCGAGGGGGACCTGACGATGAGCACCATGCGCCCCTCGGGGCCGGAGCCGTTGGCGCCGCGCGACGCGCCCGCGCCGGCCGCCTGCTGGTGCTTGAGCTCGGCGGCGGGCGGCCGGCGGCACACGTACAGCGCCACCACGGCCGACAGCCCGATGAGCAGCAGCGACCCGCTGATGGCCACGAGCACCATGAGCACGGGGCTCAGCGCCTGGCTCACCACGGGGCCTGCGGACAGCGAGACAACAGACAGAGTTAGTGAGAGGGCACACACACTTTTTAATCAGTGGCTTTCTGGTAAAATATCACAAGTGACATAAACCATTTTCTAAAATATTTTTAAGAGAAAAATCAGTGCCTTTCTGCACTCAGAATTTTCTTTTCTTCGAGAACATTTTGATTTCTTTAATTTTACTCTCAAAGGAAGGTGATATTAATTTTCGATTGAGGAAAAATGTTCTTACTGCTTCAAAGGAAAAATCGTGCATTTCACTTATGCTGTCTTTCGAGAAAGCCACTGATATCATTTCGGCCAACACTGCTGTAAGGAAATAAGAACCGTACAGGTATTTGCTCCGGCGCAATGCAATCGCAACAGCACGCGGAGGGCCTGCTCACACTGCTGCCGGCGGCGCCCCCCTCGCAGGCTCACATTCGCATTAGCATTTGTCACCATCACGCGTCGCCTCCAAGCGACAGGTAGGCCTGGCCGAGCGGAGCCGCCAGAGGCGCGCGTGATAAAGGAAAAAGCAAAATAATGGAAGGTCTCTGGAGGAGGAGGATGGTCTCCGCGGCCTAATGGGGTCTCAGCTGGGGCGGGCGGGGCGGGGCGGTCTCCTCATGCAACTGGAGAGGGCGGGGCGGGGCGGGGCGGACGGGAGCGGACTCCCTGCGAGCGCGTGCGGAAAGGGGAGAGTCACGGAGACGTAATTAATGCGCTTTTTCGTCCTTCCTGCCGCTCCCCTGCGTCGCCTTCGCCTCGCTCTCCGCCGCCCAGAGGAGAGCGCGCCGGCCTGGGCCCCGGCGCTGGGAGTCGGCGAGTGAGGGGGAATATCGCGGGCCATGACGTCTTCCTCGAGTGTTGTTTTGCCGTCGCGGACCTCGCCTCGGCGCCGCGGCCGCCTCCCCATTCGCTTTGACAGGTCCAGCGTGCGCGGGGACTCCTCTGCGCGTCCTCTCTCCTCCTCGGGGAGGCCGCCGGGCCCCGGGCCCGGGCCGGCCGCGCCGCGAGAGTCTGGCCGCGAGGAGGAGGCCTTCGTGATGGATCGGTTGGCAAAGTGACCGGGACCGGTCTACGGCACAAGTCACGGACACTCGATCATCCGGGCGCGAGGGGGGCGGATAGGAGAGCAAGTTAAGTGGAATCTCGGGCCGCGTCGCCGAATTATAAAGAGATTGCAGGGCGACCCCGCGCGCCGGCGCAGCAGCCAAACGCGAAGGACGGCGAAGGAGGATAACCCGCGAGCAGGGGAAGGGAGACAATTGACATTGTGGCTGTGATCCAGTAGGCGTTCACTTGGTGTGCGACCGTTATTGTCGACGTCATCGTTGTTGTGTTCGTTTCCCCAGTGACGACTCGGATCTGCGACGCGTGGCTGCAAAACGTAGCCGCGGGGCACACAAGAGGTCGGCCGCTGCCCCACATATTGTGGGACTGGGGGGACAGCCCATCAAGGGTGTTACGAGTTTACTGATTGCAGCTCTGCTTCGCGGTTGTGCCGTCCATACACG